CCCTCATTCTTATTGGTTACAAATGTGAAAATAATCCCGTATCGGCTAATAAAAACTTCTCTTACAATAACACACCTGTTTCAATTGTTTACATAATGCAAATTGTCTTTCCTTTATTTTTTTAGTCGAAAGTAATGACACATTTAAAAAGTTCTGGTAGACTTACTGACTATATCTTCGTCTATTCTGTCGAAATTCCATTCTTTAGTTTCTACAGCCATGACTACAACGCCTCTCTCTCTCTCTCTCCACTTGTTTCTTCTCCTTTACCACGTCGTCCGAGTAATCATACAAGTGGGTAGAGACAGGTTTATTATGAAGATAGTATGTATTTCAGACAGGTTATCTCTTGCCATTGACAGGTCCCTCTGTCAATGGTGTGAGATAAGTCCTCCACAGAACCAAAATTTAGTACTCTTACGTTCATATTGTAACATAAGGTCAAAAGGAAATCACCAAACATTATTGCAATTAAAGTGAGACATATATAAAAATAAAAATCCACTAATGCAGATCACACTATTTTATTTCAGAAAAGATGTTTTATGTCTACTAGATAATGCCTTTCCATACCAACACACAATATTCCAATCACTCTGATATGTCCAGTTTGGGATAATACTTTAAATTTATCAATATGCAAGAGTCAAGCCTTTTGTACTAAATTTTCCTAGTATACATTTACTGTTAAAAATAAAAATAAATCTTCATTTCAGAAATATTCTTTGATTATTTTATATTCATTTAAAAAAAATTTAATAAAAAAAATATTCAGTTCCATCCATAATCATAAATTTACAATATTACCTGAAGTAAAATCATAATTAGAGAATCTTTATCTTTCTCCTCTGAACACAATTCTGTCATCTTTGAAATATTAAAATAAATTCAGTCAGTAATGAATTTTGAAATAAAATCATTTACTTCATATACGTGTTTCCAACTACTTTCTAATATTTTCTTAATTCTGAATAAACCGCCCACCAGTGGCCAAGCGGTCTTCGTACCCCGAACACGGAGTTCGATCGTGGGTTTGCGCCTTACTCAGACGGGCTGGCCACGAAGTTTTCGGGGTTTTCTCCACATCTGTAACACCTAAATAGGGTCCAGTTTACCTTAAAAAGACCTCCCGAAAGGCATCCCCCCAGGCAGATTGCCCAAGTGTTGCATTGCCATAACTAAAACAAACAAACAAACAAACTGAATAAACCACACAATTAATTACAAAAGAAACAGATAACATTCTCTTCTTAATCTAATCATTCGCAACTTATTTTTTCTTCCAAAAAAAAAACTATACGAAGAACATGGAATAACAGGCATTCTAAAAGCTGCAAGTAGAAGCAATTTATCTGAAAATGAAACATGTCAAGACGTAATATATGGATGGAGAAAGGCAAAGTAATACCTTCAGACCAGAAATTAACAAACACACTCATTTATCACCTAAGATTTACTCAAGAAAAGAATAATAAATGAAATGGCAAAAACTACACTAGGAAAGTCAGAAAGATAGATTATTGAAGTGTGCGTATTCAGCAAGAGAAATTTATAATTTTCTCCTATGAAAAAGTAAGAAATTTTTATTAAAAAAAAAAAATTCTATTAAAAAAATGCTAAAATAAATGGTAACTAAACCATAAAACACCTGTTTCATCTTCAGAATTCTACTTATCAATACAAACAAATAAAACTTTCATAAAATTTAAAAGGTTGACTTTTACATTCCTGCTATTAAATAAAATCCCAAAGATAAAAATTTTTAAACGAGTAGTTAAAAATAAAACAGTTTTACGTAAACACTTAAAACATTAAAGATTTTTTTTTCTTTCGCCAAATAAAAGTAGCTTCCTCTTACTTTTATTCCCAAACTTATATTTCAAATTTTGCTTATTCGACCACTAAATACAAAAGTTTAGCGCTTCGGTGCTTACAGTTTATTAAATACTTAATTAAAATCACTCGTCTTTCTCGAATTTTACGTACAGATCCGTCACGAATATAAAACCGTAATAATAATTAATTCTCAAATAATAGTCAGAGTTGCCGAATACGGTTTTATTTGCCTATAATTGTTTGTTAAACTCGCATTTACTACCGTTACGTTCATTAATTCCAGTTTACATGGGCAGATATACTAAAAGCTTTTCGAATTTTCTCTTAAATTATTTTCTTATAAGAACATGATTCCTATCAAATAATACTTTTTAACAAAATGAAAGTTAATATATTATTATTATTATATTTAATAAAGTAATAGTAGTTTTGAATGAGGGGGATGCACCACCAGGGGGTATATGTTTCAGCATAACTGTATCAGAACAAATTACATTTTTTAAAGTATTATTAAATGAAATTTTTATAATAAATGCATAAACAATTTCTTATATGTCTCAATAATTTAACTAATAAAACATTTTATAGAAAACTTCCTTATTACATTAGAACATTTAATCAGCAGGGGGGTGGAACAAACAAACACATCACGAGGAAACGATCTGTCCAAAGATTTAACATTCATCCATGTGTCCCTCATTCTTATTGGTTACAAATGTGAAAATAATCCCGTATCGGCTAATAAAAACTTCTCTTACAATAACACACCTGTTTTAATTGTTTACATAATGCAAATTGTCTTTCCTTTATTTTTTTAGTCGAAAGTAATGACACATTTAAAAAGTTCTGGTAGACTTACTGACTATATCTTCGTCTATTCTGTCGAAATTCCATTCTTTAGTTTCTACAGCCATGACTACAACGCCTCTCTCTCTCTCTCTCCACTTGTTTCTTCTCCTTTACCACTCCACCGTGACGCCACCACAAGCGGTTTTATTTCGTATCACGTGATATTATATTAAATTTAAAATTTGTCATTTTTTAACAGTTAGTTTAATTATTTATTTATATAAATTAATAATATAAATTTAATAAGGTTTATTAATATCGTCTCAAATAAAACAGTATTTGTAGACATCGAAATGGGCGTTATACTGTATTATAAATTTTTATTTAAATTTATTTTAAAAATCATAGAAATAACAAAATAATATAAAGTATAATTAAATGTATAATATTTTAAAGTAAATTATCGTCTTACTTCAATAAATTGCTTTATATCAAATTTTTAAATAGCAACGCGATCGGAAGTTACCATAACCAAATCACGGCCGGGTGGCCGAGCGGTCAAGGTGGCAGCCTACCGCTCTGGGGAACCCGGGTTCGAATCTGATCGGGTCGAAATATCCCTAGGAATTTTTCGGGGGTGGTCTGTCCTGATATGTCGGGCCCCGTCCCTCACCACCCGGCCGCCCCATTGTGGGCCTGGCCGAACCGATAATGAACTTGCTAAAAAGAGGCCCTCTTAGTGACCACAGGACGGAAAGAGTAAAAAAAACAAAAAAACTATATTTCAATGGAAAAATAGACAACTTTACAACGTTATCCCATCTGAAGGATTCCAGGCAAACGATGAAAGGAATGCGGATAGGTTTTAGTGCATAGAGTGCATTACCCCAAATATTTTTGTTCAAGAGAATCCCCGATACCTCCTTCGTTTTTAACGCGATCTTTGCGCCAGTGGCCTTTTTTTAAAACTCTTTCCGCCCTGTGGGCACTAAGAGGGCCTCTTATAGCAGGTTCATTATGGGTTAGGCCAGGCCCACAATGGGGCGACCGGGTGGTGAGGGACGGGACGGGGCCCGACATATCCGAACGGACCACCCCCCCGAAAAATTCCTAGAGATTCCTTGACCCGTCTAGATTCAATCCCGGGTCCCCCAGAGCGGTAGGCTACCACCTTGACCGCTCGACCATCCGGCCTTTGCTCCAGTGGCCTAGTGGATAACACCACCGAACACTTGTGGGTTCAAGTCTCACCAACGGGCTGGACACGTGGAGTTTTTCGAGTTTTTTTCACTTTAGTAACACCTAAATAGGGTCCAGTTTCTCATAAAAATTCCTCCTGGGAAACATCCACTTCGGCAGATTGCTCACGTGTCGCGTTGTGGTAATTAAATAAACCTCCTGTATTTATTTGAGTTTTTTTTTCATTTGTTTATTTTAAGACTATTGATACTTATAATCATAAAATATATGAACTCACAAAGTAAATAAATCTGTGATTTTTATATGGGTCTATATACAAGTGAAATAATATAAACTGAGTGGAAGGAATTTCAGGAAAGTGTAAAACTTGAAAACAAGTTTTCATTCAAAAAATAGAAATCAGGGAAAAGCCACAGAGATTTTATTATGTTTTCATAGAAATGTACCCAGTACCATTCGTTGGAATTGAAATTATTATTTATTTTTTTCAATAATTCAAAAATATAAATCGACTTCGAAGTAGATATGATTGCTTTCATCCGATTGCAGCTGTAAATATTCTAAGAATCGCACCGCATCGGAATCATAATCCGTACGAAACATGTCATGTTGAAAGAATGTCATTATCGGCCCTTTATATAATTGGCGAATTTCGTCAGGAACGAATTCGATCGTAAGTCGAAGAATCTCGTCTTTTCCCACAAAAATTGGGCATTCTAAATACACGAAACCAACTTCGTTACAGTAAACTGTTTCGCTTTCTAATCGATTTTCTACAAAATTCTTGTATCCATTTAATTTTACGGGTATAGTTCTACTGTGGTAATGAGTTACGGGAAGTTTCAGCGTAATCACGAAACAATCCTCCATTACTGATATTTCTGTGCTGAATATCATGCTTTTGTTTTTACTATTGTTTGTGTACGGCATTCGCTTTAAATATCTAAACCAGTTTGTACTTAAACTTCTATTCCTTCTATCTCTCAACTTGGAAAATCTTTCGGGATAATTTGTAAGCTCGTTGCTCGTTAAACCAGAACGAATGCTTTCTTTTTCCTCGTCGTTTAAGTAATTCGTTGGCACAACGTGACGTGAAAATTCGTTTAAACTCATCGACAGAAATCTAATTTTCGAAACGAACGGTTCCATGGCCGTCCGACATCTTTCGTTGAAAGCATCTCGTGACGCCGAACCTCTCTTCACTTCCTCCGTTACCCATTTGTAGACTGCCGAAAACAGATTACCTTCAGTCAAAGACAAGTATACGGGACGAGACAGTAATCTATCGATTGTTGTCCTCTGACATCGGAGGAAGTCGTCGCCATTGAATACTTCCTTCCAGTGGGCATCGAAAGTCCTCCAACAGTAATACTGTATCAATTTGTCGTCTTGTTGGCAGGCAAAGTCGTGTATACGACACACATTTTCCCCGCTTATTGCATTGATCAAACACTGTCGACATTGTTTTCGAAGATTTTCTATCTGATATTCAATGCTAATACGATACATATCTATCGCGTCTTTTTCGGATTCGAATAACAACTCGTTATTACGGATGTAACTACGAATAAATAACAAGTTTATTTAATGCCGAATTATTACGATATAACGAGTCTAAAACATACCACTCACGATACTAATTGCGATACGACTGATGAACGATACGGTACTGAAAATACTCTGGTTCGTCTATAAATGTCGATTATAGAATTTAACACGTCGCTGTTCACGTTTCTAAGATCAGATTCCGAAATATTTACTTTCTTACCACTCAAGCAACTGATTATGATCTGACTTTGGTCACTATTCATATTCATTTGCTTAAACTTTTATCCACTAATCACGAATTGCTTAACCACTGCAACAATTTGTAAAAATAGTTATTGTTATTAATTATTGTTTCATAACTTTATCATCTATTGATATTGTTAGAAAATGGTCCCTTTTTCTACCTTTGTTTTGTTAAGTTATGGTAACGCAACACTTGGGCGATCTGCCTAGAGCAATGATTCTCAACCACTGTGCCGCGGCACTTTATTGTGACGCGAGATTTTTGAAGTGTGCCGCCACTGCGAATATCTATATCTAGTACTGTAACATAAGCGACGTCAGACACGTAGTTTAATCGGCTGTATCTTCCTAGAGCGCTTTTGGAAATTGTAACCGGTGTTACCGGTAACTGCCGGTAGTTACCAAGGCGTTTAGGAAATGTGACCTAAATAACCAACTGCGTTTAAAAAACACTGTTATGACGTCACCGGTTGTCCTGCGGTACTTACCGAAGAAACCGTGTGTACCGCCAAATTTTTAAATTATTAAAAGTGTACCGTGACGATAAAAAGGTTGAGAATCACTGGCCTAGAGGATGCCTTCCGAGAGGTCTTTTAAGGAAAACTGGCCCCTATTTAGGCGTTGCAGACATGGAGGAAACCTGGAAAACTCCACGTGGCCAGCCCTTCCAAGCGATGCGCGAAACCACGATCCGAACTCCCAGTGGGTGAATCAATGTTTTCGACAATGAATATCATAAAATCAAGGTACAGGTCACGAACACCTTCACGATTGCTCGTAAGCAATCGTTAATTTTTAATATATATTCATATAAAATTTTATATATGGCAAAATATTCGCGACAATATGTAGTTTGGCATATATAAAATTTTATAGGCCAAACTACATATATATGTATATGTAGTTTGGCATATAAAACAATGTACGAGTACAAATGTAAATAAAACACAAATGTAAATAAATAAAACATATGTAACAAACAACTGTAAATTTTATATAATTACATTTACAGTTTGTAATTACAGTATTTTCAAGCACTCTTTATGATATTTCATTATTATAAATTTAATAATAAAATAGTACGATTAACTTCAATTCTATTCTGATAAATCACAGCCTGACTTAAAAACAATCATTAGAAATAACAGTCAAGCTATCCATTTTGCCACATTAATCGAATCCGAATGTTCATGGGATAATTCTTCACATTCTTTGGATTCATTATTTCTTGGTTGTTTCTCATCCTCATTTCAAACTTTACGATATTATTCTTTGTCTTCCTCGGCCATTTTTATATATTTTGCCTTTTCTTCTTTCTTTAAACAATTCCATTTCTTTCCTATTCGTTTGACGATTTCAGAAGTTTTACATTGAGGATTTTCTTTTGTTTCGTTGACGTGAGTATCTTTGTATTAATAAACGAAAGAGGAGGGACTTTTCTTCGGAAGATGTATCTTAGACTGACGTTTTAAGTATTTTGATCAAGCTGGAAGAGACAGCTTCTCACTCCAATATCTTTCTCTATCGATTTTTGATTTATTTGCATAATTTTCTTTAATTTCTTGTCCAAGGATTTTTGCGGCTTCTGTTGTTACTAAACAATTATCACGCGTGTATTACAGTTGTCCCTTGATAATCCGACAGGTATGGGACCAAAGGTGAGTCAGATTACCAAAAGTGTCCGGATTACCGAAAATAATTACATATTTCGCATTGTTTTGCTAGCAGTAACTTACAATATTCTCTACTCCAACTGTTCGAACAGAACTGCTCACATAAAACACACGAAATGTGTGTCATCG